AGATAGATAGATAGATAGATAGATAGATAGATAGATAGATAGATAGATAGATAGATAGATAGATAGATAGATAGATAGATAGATAGATAATAGATTGATTGATTGATTTCTGGCAGACCCCTTTCTTCTTTGGTGAATTCCCCCCCTTCCTTTTCACCCAGGTGTGAGATCTGTGGTTTCACCTGCCGCCAAAAAGCGTCCTTGAACTGGCACATGAAAAAGCATGATGCCGACTCCTTCTACCAGTTCTCCTGCGATGTTTGTGGCAAGAAGTTTGAGAAGAAGGACAATGTCACTGCACACAAGAGTAAGAGCCATCCTGAGGGGGCCACTGGGCCTCCCCCACCAGCACAGGACCCTCCCCCTCTGAGCTCTCCACTCGCAGCAGAGCCAATGGCAAACCCGGTTCAGGATCAGCCGTGTGACATGGGGGGAAAGGTGGAGCCTCCTGCCCTTGCAATTACCGTCCTCATCGAATAGCGGACCGAGCAGAAGGAGAAAAAGCAATAGTAGAGAGAATTCCTGACCTTTCCTGCAGGCCAGTTGCATTACGTCAGCCGGTTGCAAAATCAGCAAAGACACATGGGCCCTAGCCCCTTAAAACAAGGTCCCACCAATCACAATCTTTCGCTCAGCTCTTCTGGGCTCGGCTCTGGAATAAAAGGACAATCTTGGCATTCTGCCTTGCCTGGCTCCAGAATGTCTAGTGGTGGGACATGCCTTGACAGTCAGTTTGATGTGTTTTCCTTCCATCTGTGGGTGAAAAAGTACACTGGTTTACTTGGCTCTGTTTACACAGCTGATCTCTCTCGTGCCACGAATGAGACCAGTGAGTGGTGCTGTCCTAACGGTTTATTGCAGGGCAAGTTAAGTTGAAGAATCGGGATTTCTCAGCCAGTGGAAAAAACATTGGCCGCATCAATTATGCCTTTGAATATGGGATGGTGCTAGAGCTGGGGGGCAGGAGACAAGTTTGGACAAATGGGTATATCAGTAAGTTTAGCCTTCTATCCGCAACTTTCAGTGTACCAGTAAGTACTGTTCTACAGGTCTTGGGACAATCTGCTTGTGAGACTGTAGCAGAGCCATCTCCATGTCTGGATATTTGTTTTACATAGTTTGACAGGTAAGCTGCTCCCCAGAATCCTCTGATCAGTATATTTGACCCTCGGTATGGTGATGTACCTATCAGAACTCTGTAAAAATAAATATCCTGGCCAGGAGGTCACTGCGACATCTCTCAGAAGGATAGAGGCATGGGGGCATTTGCTTCTCCACAGATCTGATCAGCAGTTTGGTCCTGTCATCATGTCAGCCCAACAGCACAAAATGAAATGGCCATGGAAGGACATTGGCAGGTCTATAGCAACCAAAATCAGTCAATAAGGACACAAAATGGGACATTATAACAAGGTTCAGGGGTGTCTATGGGGATTCTCAGTCATCCAGGTCATGGTTGTCTCAAAGGTGCTTTTTCAAGAGGCAACTGGACTTTCTGGAAACCATAAAGTCCAGTTGTATCTTGAAAAAGCACCTTCGGGACAAGGCTCAGGGACGAGAACAAAGCTGCATCATTCAATCTGGCCAAAGACCAAGGAGGAAGGAAGATCTCTTTGAGTCAAAGTAGGGAATGTTTGTGGATATTCTTGTGGCCCAATCAGAATCTTTCGGAAGCCTATCCTTTGTGGCAATTGGCTACCAAACCTTTTATGTAGATTGTGAGTGTAAAGGGAAAGGCTACAGAGACATGGAGAACAGCTAACTGACGTAAACACAAGTGCAGTCCTGACTTTACACAGCCTGGTCAGGCAGTGATTGTGGAATATATGGAGGGATCTGCTATAGCTTCTGGGAACAATCTTTTGCAGCCTGCATAAACAATGCAATTTTTATATGCGGGGCAATGGAGGTACTGTATGCATATTTTATGCCATTATGTTTTGCTAACCATGATGATCGACTTTGCCAGGTGCAAAATATTGTGTCAAGTATTTAAGTCTTAGCCCTGGCTACTTGAAATAGAATGTATGAACTTCTGACAGCCACATGGCATCATTCATGAACATTGAAGCCTATGGCTGCATTTAAAGAAAGGTTACAAGGGATTTTTTAATATACTTTTAAAGTGGAAACTGGGTTCCTTGGAAGGCCATATTCCACGGACAATTTCATACGCTACTATTTTTCTATTTGTATGTCACTATTAAATGCACATTGTATTGATTAACTTTCCACTCTTGTCTAGCCAGCCCAGATTTTAAATTGCAATAACAGCCATTAGTAGGAATAGTTTTTGCTGTTGTGCTCCACAGAGCCAGAACGATGTTTCATATTTGCCAAGCAGGGCTGCACTTCCCTGCTTCTGGAAACAGGATGTTGCCAGGCAGAAAAAAATTAAGTCAAACCAGGAATCAGAAAAATACCGTATGTTTGGAGTATAAGGCACATCTTTTCCCCTCAAAAAGGGTGAAAATCTGGGTGCATCTTATACACTGAATACAGCATTTTTGGCTCCTGACCTCCCCCCCCCCCTTTGAAAAATATGCCATGCATAGCCTGTAGGAGGCTTTCAGAGTGATGCTGGGCAGGGCAAAAATGAGTGAAAAATGGGCCATTTTTTGTTCGTTTTTGTCCCCCAGCCCCCGGGAGCACTCTATAAGCCTCCTAAAGGCTATGCATGTCCTTTTTTTTTTTTTTGACAAAAACAGGACCCATTTTCGTGAAAAATGAGTCATTTTGGGGAGGTCTGCAGAGTGCAAAAAAAATTTTTAAATTTGCCTCTTAAAAATGTTGGTGCGTCTTATACTCCAAAAAATACGGTAGTGTACAAGTCAAAACTGGAGGGAAGGAAGCTGCAATTTCAAGATGAAATCTAGCATTTGTGCCAACCTTGATTCTTCCTTCCCGATAAACTCTGCTTTTGACCTGTTTAGTCATCATCGGCCTCAATTCCTATCTGCTTTGGATGTTCCTACCCCGACATTTAGGGTGACGTCGACTTCCAGCCCGTGGAGTTTTGCCACCAAAAGACGAATAAGAATTGTATTGAGTGGTGATAATTAAAAGGCAGCTTTCTTCTTACTCTCAGGATTATATAAACACTGAAAAACAAAATATTTTGTGATGAGGACTTTTTAAGTTTATCCCCTGAACAACATGGGATCTAGATTTCTCCTTTTTCAGGAGGCGCAGAAGATATGTACTTGGGAAAATTCGTATGTCTTAATATATTACTCCTTTGATTCATTTCTAGGACGTTGAGAGAAATAAATGTATTAAAAGGCTGTTGGAGAACTCTATTCCTCAGGTGATGGTGCTGTCTCTGCAGCATAAGCATCTCCTGTCATGAAAGGAATGCTTCCATTGCTGCTCTGTATGAGGTCCTGTTATGAGGATGCCACCTCTGGACTCACTTGGAGTATAGGAGTGAGTGATTCCTCACAGTCTCATTTTTCTTAAAATAAAATAAAATGTGAAAAACCTCAGCTTTCATAAGTTTGCGAAATACGCTCCAGTGTATCTTATAAGTGTTTCAATTTCATAAGGTTTTGGAGAGTTATGCCCAGTTTTATGTCAAGCCATGCCAAGCGCATCCATGCTGGAGTCCTAGAAATGCATAGATCTAAATCCAAGGAATTTTCTTGCCAAGCAGCTATAGTGAGACTTCACACCCAAGAGTTCTCAGTCCATACAGCTATGTTCCAGAGGTGGTATTCAGCAGGTTCTGACCAGTTCTGGAAAACCGGTAACGGAAATTTTGAGTAGTTCGGAGAACCGGTAAATACTACCTCTGACTGGCCCCACCCCCATCTGTTCTCTGCCTCACAAGTCCCAGCTGATCAGGAGGGAATGGGGATTTTGCAGTATCCTTCCCCTGGAGTGGGGAGGGAATGGAATGGAGATTTTACAGTATCGTTCCCCTGCCACGCCCACCAAGCCACGTCCACAAAACCAGTAGTAAAAAATTTTGAATCCCATCACTGCTGTGTTCTATATGTGTCAGCGTTCCAAGTATCATGTAGAATTAAATCAGAGTCCAAGGCAAAATGATCCTTAAAGTTCCAATTTAATAAATCAGACATCTTAGCACATCTGTGGAAGCCCAGTTCTGGAAGTTACATTGGATTCCAACCCAGTTGAAAGTTTATGATCTTGTCCCCACACCCACAAATCTATCACATGGTCCAATCTTCTTCCACGCTGGCATCTCCACCCAGCTGGTTTCCGGTCAGGTGCAGAGGTGCAAAAGATGACCTTGGCTATTAGAAAAGAATGACAACAACACGTTCCACCATTCTACTCCTTTCTATTCCCTCCTCCCAACTACTACACTAATGAAACAGCATAATGAAAAGAGAGTGTGTGTAGCAGGCCAAAGATCCTAAAAGGGATAAAACTGCAGGCCTGACAATATGTTTCAAAGGGTTGATCAAAGGGTTAAAACCAAATTTACTGAAGCTTTTATTTTGACAAACTTCAGTTTAGCAAAATTTATTTCACTTTTGTGAATTATGGGAAAGGATGAGAAAAAAGCTATGCAGAGTAATCACTTTCTGTGGCTCCTTCCCTTGAATTAGAGATTTCAGACATTGCATAGATATTATCTAACTCTAGTGAAGATTTAAAAGTGTTATGTTTGATAAGAAGGCTGAGGTTCTTAGGAAATTGGATTTAGCGGTTTACATTCCCAAGATTTTTCTTCATTTACGATCATGGAGATGAAACAAATGCTAAAAATTCTGGATTTCTAAATTTTGCAGTACCAAATGGGGGCTGCTGTTTTGATTTCTTTTGGAGATGGATATGAAATCTTTACGATTTGTTGGAAGGTTGAAAACGAATAAATGGATCTGTCAGGGTAACGATGATTTAAAGCTCAACAGCCAATGTAAAGCTGATGCAATGTGGACGAATCAGCATTGGTATAGCCAGCTGCAAATGCTGCAAACGCTCTGACAGGATCTTCCCCTACTATAAGAATGAAACAAAACAGTGGGAAATATTTGAAAATAAACTAATGTTTGGGTCAGAGTTGGGCTGCTGCCGGTTCAGCCCAGATCAGCTGAATTGGTAGTAGCGGCAGCGGGAGGCTCTGCCCACCTGCCTGGATGCTTCTGTGCATGCGTAGAAGCCTTTGGGAATGCGCAGAATCAGCACGGGAGCAGGCCCAAACCAGTAGTAAATTTTTTAGCAATCCACCTCTGGTTTGGGTCCCTATATTACCTACTGATCTAAAATGTTTGCCTACTATTAAACCACTATATGTGTTTATTACAGGAAAGAATAAAAAAGATGAAAAAATATAATCAGTCATATGTCACATAACAACCATATTTTGACGTGCAACTATCTTTTCCAGTAACCTCCAGGCCAGGAAAACAGGCATAAAACAAGATTCTTAAAAAGGAGGTCTTTTGTAAACTTTACAGTAGAAGCCACCTTGATTGCAATAATACAATGTTTTAGCTGAGTTCATGCATGGGATGCTAAACCAAAATCTGGCATGTTTGCTGCTTCTATGAATGAACCCAATCTTGGTGGTTTGTAAACCCTCAGCTTATATACTGTACTGTGAAGCTGGTAACTTTTGGCATCCATATAAATAGACCTTTTCCAGGATGACCTGTCTCCTTTTTTTCTTTTTCTCTATTAAAACTTCTTCGAAAAACTAAGTCTTCATATTGTTGGAAGTTAAAACCCACCCCTCTCCTAGAGAAATGAAATATTTTAGGAAATATTTAAAAAGCAGAATATTTCCCCTAAAAAGAGAAGTAGAAACTCAAGAGAGGCAGAAATTCAGCAGCCCCCACCTTTGTCAATGGGCCATTAAAGGCCTGAATCAGTCTATTTTACATAACAAAGGTAGGATTAACCCTCTACCAATCTCACCACATGGCACCTGGGAAAAAGGAATGCTAAACCAAATTCTGACTCAAAACACAGCCTACAGAGATGGCCCCATGGGAGTCTGACTCAGAATATGGGAGTCTGAGTCAGAATACAAGTTCAAGTTCAAAGCCCAGAGAGGGCATAAAACCAGGGACTTTAAGTATCTCTGACCTTTTTTCTTCTTCACCCAACATCTTGAAGCATTTTATTTATTTATTTATTTATTTATTTATTTATTTATTTATTTATTTATTTATTTATTTATTTATTTATTTATTTATTTATTTATTTATTT